GTTTCAGAAGATTTTTTGTTAATTGCTGTAACTAAGCATGAAGTCCTAAATCTTTGTTAAGTCAACATGCTTACACTTACATGTATGTCCTGCTAATGCTTTCGCTTTCACCAGAGCTGCAGAAGCTACTTGTGGTCTAGCTATCATACAAACTATTGCTTCTACAGCTCTGCACCAATGTGAATAGACTCCAGTACCTCATAGGTTAGTGTTTCATGCACATGTCAATGATGTGCAATATTTTTATTTCCCAAAGCAAACCAGTTAATACTCATATGCCAGGGTGTAGGTAAACATTTAGTAGTACTGTAGAAGGTTATCATATAGCACTAGACTATTGTAAGCTCAGCAGTAATGCAATCACACCCAAGCCTACTCACCATCATCTTGCATGTGTATCAAACATTACTTCTGAACTGGTACCCATACCATTTTTACTGAATATCAATTTCAGCAGCTTTCATATTGTTTCTGATAAGCTTAAACTTCTGTCTTACACTAATGAATCACAGTTTCCTGCATTACAGGATTCTCTTCCTTTTTATTTATCTTCCGGAGTAATCCTACCTGGTTTCTTCATACCTACCATTATATTTGTCATTTCCTTGACTGTTATGATATTTTGTTACAAGAAATTGTCCTCCAGTAGTTTCCAGAAAAACTTTCCGGAAGGCATTGAAAAAACATGTGCAAGATGCAACAGTTTAGCTAAAGCACACATATTGTAACATGGATAGATCTACCTATGATTTAACCATGAGGACTCGGTTGGTGGTGGCCGAGCGGTGTAACAGCACCTTTGCTTTATATAAATACACCCCAATGAATAATTAGTGTGATACCAAAACAGTTATCACAGGCATGTGTTCAAAAGGGCGTGCTTCTCACGCTTCAGTTCGCCTGCATCTGACAAAAATAATCACAGGCACTTCCAGCCCCTACCATAAGTGCACCTAAACTGATGCAAGAGAAAAACATGCTCGCCACATAAAGAATTCTAGAATACTCAACATATTTTTTCATGCCGCAGCTTGGAAGTAATGGTACAGGAGTGGGGTGAGCATCTCCAGTGCGTGAATTTTCCTAAGCTTTCTCCATCCCATTGAACTTCATTCATTTCTAAACAGTGTGGGTCCGTACGCATGGAAAAAAGAATGCTCGTATGTGAAGCTGGCCTTACATCGGAATATGAGAGCTGCCGCTAGTCCATCCAATTTGAAATAGTACTGTAGGGTATCATTATTTTTAATTTGCAAATAAGCGGGGTATGCTTTGTGAATATCGAATATGGGTGTTAAAATATAATTTGTGGACAAGTGGGGTTGCAATTATATGGATTGCAAATAGCGAAGTATTCCTGTATTGAACTGTACTCTACAATAAGTATACTGTACAGTTTACCCACTTAACGCAGTCAATTGAACCCAGAGGGTCCCGCGTTAAGTGAAATCCGCGTTAAGTGAACAACAGAACATATGGGATTAATTCCAATAGAAACCGGCCCGACCCCCAAACTCCACTTTTTGAAGGCACATACCTATGTTGTAGTAAAAATAACATCTTAATTTTATGATGGTACATGCACACAATTAATACTTAAGAGAAATAGAGAAATACAGTCGCCAAGTTAATGTCCATTCAAATAATGGACTCAACTCCCTCCCCCTCTCACACTACACAGCCGGCTAACAGATGGTCGGTCGGTCCCTCCCTCCCCCCCCCACCCCCCACCAACCGTCCCAAGGAGATGTGTGGGATAACCTCAAACTAAAGTTAGGAAAATATAATTGACATTGCTGGATTCCTTGTAAGACCAGGAATATTTTGAATATAAATGTCATATATTTTGCACAAAAGATAACATAGTTACCTAGAGAAAAATTTTTATCTAAAAATTGTAAGTTTAAAGCAAAATATATGATGTTTATATTCAAAATGATCACCAAATTACCGTATATCACGGCCTATAAGACGAAATTTGAACATTAAAAAAATCTGCCCAAAGTTAGGGGGTCGTCTAAACCACCAAGTTTAAAATTCTTACCTCTTAAATATTGTGGTTTAGTGTGTCAAGAGTGGTGATGAAAACATCGTAAGCCACTCACAAGGTCTTACCACTAATTATTTTATACTGAAACTTACGTTTGGCAAGCTGGATTCAAATTAAGATTACCGGTATATTAAAATAATAAAAATGTATTATAAACCTGTCTAACATACCGTAAAAGAGATTTATACCCCTGTAATAAACACAGCTATCATCACACACCCCTCCCCACGCCCCCCCCATTTGCCAGTGAGGAGACAAGAAAGGGAAAGTGACCGCGAGATTGGGCTATTTTTAGCCGTGGAGGTGGTCAGTAATGCATACCGGTATCGGTATATTTACTCATAATAATATTTATCTCCTATAAATAATTGATTTAAATTTTATTTTTTTACAAAGAATATTCAGTAAATGAGTGCATTAATTCTTGAAACTATCGACGGTTAATTACAGACGCTCAAGTGACGTCACTAGTGTTTACACTACACCAGCTGGTAATATTTGATGCCATTACTTGAAGTGAATTGGCCTTATTTTAAGTAACTAACTATAAATAAATACAAAAATTAAAAAAAAGATCAAAACTGAGAAATAATATACTGTATGTATGTTGTGTTGTCAAAGTAAGAGGAACAATTGTGTAAGTACGTAATATTTTTTCACTCAAATCCTAATGAAACACTACTGGAGAACATTCCTTTGTCGCAAAACAGTTTATAAATTAAAGAAAATAATTACAGTGTGTTTAATATATTACAGTATATTATAAATAAATAAATAAAACAAATAATTCGGTAAATCTATTTAAAGTAAATGGAAAATAAGCAAACATGTTATTTACCAAGACGCTTCTGTCTGGCTCAGGGTGAGATGGAGGGGAGATAACAAGGCTATTTATAGCCCATCTGAAGTGGCCAGTACCCTAATGCACCATAAATAATTCATTGAACATTCATTTTTTGTACATAGTATATTCAGTATATATATATATATATATATATATATATATATATATATATATATATATATATATATATATATATATATATATATATATATATATATATATATATTTGTGTAATAAATGTATGTAGTAAGTACATACTGGTAACCTTTTTCACTCAAATCCTAATGAAACACCACAATTAGAATACGGTGGTTGCTGTTGAACCACATGTTGTATAAATAGTCGGAACACAGCCACACCACCGAGACGAGGGAACACTCCCACCACGCTTCAGTGACGTCACTAGTGTTTACACTACACCAGCGGGTATAATTTGATGACATTACTTGAAGTGAATTGGCCTTATTTTAAAAAATCAAGGATGGTTGGTAAAGGACTACTGAGTCAGTGGGTAAGTGTCACATTTGGGGTACTGGTCTTATACAGCAAATAGAGCTCAAAAGCTACTTTTTAAATGGAAATTTGGGGGGGGCGTCTTATGCACCCCGCCGCCTTATAGGCCGTGATATACGGTATAAGAATTCCAGCAATGTAAATTATATTCTGACCGGGTAATTTGTATGAATTTTATGAGCTAAAACAAATATCTTCAGTTAATAAAAAAAAAAATAATCTTCACGACACTATCTGTCAATCAAAGTACCCCACCTTGCCTCCCCCCCTCTTCCAACCGCGCGGTCAGTCCCAACCCTCCCCCCCACCCCCCACCAATCCTCCCTTCCAGAGTTTTTAACATTTAGTATTAAATAATACCTCAGATTAAAGTTAGGATAATATAATTGACATTGCTGGATTCCTTGTAAGACCAGGAATATTTTGAATATAAATGTCATATATTTTGCACAAAAGATACCATAGTTACCTAGAGAAAAATTTTTATCTAAAAATTGTAAGTTTAAAGCAAAATCTATGATGTTTATATTCAAAATGATCACCAAATTATAAGAATTCCAGCAATGTAAATTATATTCTGACCGGGTAATTTGTATGAATTTTATGAGCTAAAACAAATATCTTCAGTTAATAAAAAAAAATAATAATTCTTCACAGGGTAACAGATGGTCGGTTGGTCCCTCCCTCCCCCCCACCCCCCACCAACCGTCCCAAGGAGATGTGTGGGATAACCACTAAATTTTAATAAATAATACCTCAAACTAAAGTTAGGATAATATAATTGACATTGCTGGATTCCTTGTAAGACCAGGAATATTTTGAATATAAATGTCATATATTTTGCACAAAAGATACCATAGTTACCTAGAGAAAAATTTTTATCTAAAAATTGTAAGTTTAAAGCAAAATATATGATGTTTATATTCAAAATGATCACCAAATTATAAGAATTCCAGCAATGTAAATTATATTCTGGCCTGGTAATTTGTATGAATTTTATGAGCTAAAACAGGCAGTCAGGCAGGGTGGCGGGTGGGGCAAATCTAAAAATAGCGTCTCGGACACTCACCGCGTATATGTGGAAAAAATCCGCGTTAAGTGAAAGTTCAGCTTTGGCAAGGCACCGCGTATATGCGAAAACGCGTTAAGTGAAACCGCGTTAGGCGGGGTAAAACTGTATGTGTGTATGCATGACACTAAGTAGTTCAAGTAGTTTGGAGATTCATGAGACTAAAGGGTAGGCAGCTAAGGAGATGGATGTTGTCAATAACATAAGTATGGTGTAGATGCAACGTAAATCAGGTGGTGGTATAAATTGAGTGTCAACATACTTGTAATACAGTGTAAAAGGGGGCAATGTATATTGGGATATTATACTATTTGGAGAACCAGAACATAACCCTTTAGTACACTGTTTTTCTAATGGGCACCAATAGTTTTTAGGTCACTAAATATACATTTATAAATCTATTGGAACCTAACCCTGAAGATTCAGTGAGAATCACTGTAACTTGTACAGGCAGTAAAAATGATAATGACCAAATTATCAAGAAGTCTGATCAATATAATCTGTATTCTTTTTTTTTTTTTTACCTACCTGTGTTGTTTGAGGAGTGTGCAGTCTCCACCCTCATTAGTATTGAGATTATAAATGTATAAGTATCCATCTGTTGATGCCACCACAACCCGAGGCTGCTTCTGAATCCTGGGGAAAAATTATGGAGTTGATGAATAAAACATAGAATTATCATTTTGATTTTGGAATGTAGCAATTTATTCAGAAATACACTTAGACTATACAGTACCACTATACTGTATCTATTATTAAGCTAGTTCAGTGCAAATAAATTATCAAATGGATAAAAACTTAAAACAACTGTGAACATTATACAGTCGACCCTCGTTAATTCGGACCCCTTTAATCCGGATTTTGGATAAATCGGACGAAATCTGAACTGTCCATATCAAATTTCTGGTTCTGGGATTGTCCCAGTTGCAATTGGGGTTGCAATTTCAAATTCTGTGTCATTACTAAGAAATAAAGAAGTCACTGGTGTACTGCACTCTAAGATTAAGAGAAAACAGACGACTCAGGCGTCCTGAAGTGAGAGAAAACGGACTTCTTTAACGAGGCACTCAAATAAAGAGAGACATTGCTGCATGTTTTGTGGACTACCCACTTTACAGTATCCTTTTCATCACTTTGTAATAAACCTAGCCATGCCTACCGTATATCTCGGCTTATAAGACGGAATTTGAACAATAAAAAAATCTGCCCAAAGTTAGGGGGTCGTCTAAATCACCAAGTATAAAATTTTTACCTCTTAAATATTGTGGTTTAGTGTGTCAAGAGTGGTGATGGAAACATCGTAAGCCACTCACAAGGTCTTACCACTAATTATTTTATACTGAAACTTACGTTTGGCAAGCTGGATTCAAATTAAGATTACCGGTATATTAAAATAATAAAAATGTATTATAAACCTGTCTAACATACTGTAAAAGAGAATTATACCCCTGTAATAAACACAGCTATCATCACACACCCCTCCCCACGCCCCCCCATTTGCCAGTGAGGAGACAAGAAAGGTAAAGTGACCGCGAGATTGGGCTACTTTTAGCCGTGGAGGTGGTCAGTAATGCATATCGGTATATTTACTGATAATAATACTTATCTCCTATAAATAATTAATTTAAAATTTATTTTTTTACAAGGAATATTCAGTAAATGACTGCATTAATTCTTGAAACTAATGACAGTTAAATACAGACGCTTAAGTGACGTCACTAGTGTTTACACTACACCAGCTGGTAACATTTGATGCCATTACTTGAAGTGAATTGGCCTTATTTTAAGTAACTAACCATAAATAAATACAAAAAGTAAAAAAAAGATCAAAAGTGAGAAATAATATACTGTATGTATGTTGTGTTGTCAAAGTTAGAGGAACAATTCAAACTGCAATTGTGTGTAAATGAGGCAGAAAGTCAGGTCAGCGCTGAACCTGGGACTTGGTCACAATTTTCGTGATGCCATATGGCAGCAGGGTCTACCATTAGACAACACATTATGCTTCCAATATCTTCCCAGGCGGTAGTATCTACCTGTTTGGTAGCTGCCTACTACCTACACAATTTTTAGTAATATTACTTTGATACATGATAAATTAGACAAACAATGAAAATAAACATCAAATTTAATTACCAAGACGCTTCCCATTGGCAGCTGTAAGAAGAGGGGGAGATGGGCTATTTTTATCCCGTCTTTGTGTCTGAAGTGGCCAGTAATACCATATATTTACTGATCATAATACTTATCTCCTATAAATAATTAATTTAAAATTTATTTTTTACATAGAATATTCAGTAAATGACTTTTAAATAAATAAACAAATAATTCGGTAAATCTATTTCAAGTAAATGGAAAATAAGCAAACAAATGTTATTTACCACCACCCCTTCCCTCTGGCTCAGGGTGAGATGGAGGGGAGATAAAGAAGGCTATTTATAGCCCGTCTTTGTGTCTGAAGTGACCAGTACCTAATGCACCATAAATAATTCATTTAACATTTATTTTTTGTAAATATATTTTGTTGTATATATATATATATATATACATATATATATATATATATATATATATATATATATATATATATATATATATATATATATATATATATATATATATATATATATATATATATATATATATATATATATATATATATATATATATATATATATATATATATATATATATATATATATATATAATATACATATATATATATATATAAATCATCCATTTCAAGTAAATGGAAAAATTTTACTCGACACCGACATTAGTTCCAGTTACCGGTAAATAGCAGACGCTTCAGTGACGTCACTAGTGTTTACACTACACCAGCGGGTAACATTTGATGACATTACTTGAAGTGAATTGGCCTTATTTTAAAAAACCAAGGATGGTTGGTAAAGGACTACTGAGTCAGTGGGTAAGTGTCACATTTGGGGTACTGGTCTTATACAGCGAATAGAGCTCAAAAGCTACTTTTTAAATGGAAATTTGGGGGGGGGGGCCGTCTTATGCACCCCGACGCCTTATAGGCCGAGATATACGGTATGTGTTTCTGATAATTACCATAACATTTAGCAGGTGTACAAACACAAGGCCTCACACATGCCATTCAGACTGACAGACTTGACAAGTTTTACCAACCATAAAGACAGTTGAAGCTTTAAACATCACTCACAATGGCTCTTGAATATTCCAACTGTAATCAGACATACCTAAGTTGCTTCAACAATTGCAACTCCAGTTGCAGTTTCAAATTCTGTGTCATTACTAAGAAATAAAGAAGTCACTGGTGTACTGCACTCTAAGATTAAGAGAAAACAGACGACTCAGGCGTCCTGAAGTGAGAGAAAACGGACTCCTATGACGGGGCACTCAAATAAACATACACATAGCTGTATAATGCAATATTATGCAATATGAACCCCTAAATCGGTTAATTCGGACAATCGGCTAAAACGGACACCCTTCCCCCCCCATTAGTCCGTTTTAACGAGGGTCGACTGTATATTTATGAGCATTATCAGGATGAAGAATCTTATAAAGCAACCAACTGTCTCAAGAAGATACAAGAACAATATACCAGTACAGTAATGGTATAAAAAAAGGAAAGCAAAGGATTCTTGAAGGATATCTTCAAGACAGTTCAAATCTACTAATGACTTGAATATACAAATCAGTTTGTTAGACACAAGCAGTTAGTTCATGAAGCACTGCTCCGTGCATGTTTACATTTTTCTCCTTTTAAGGCCTTTACTGTTACTGTGTATTGCAGGGTGGCTGATATATGGAGCAAATATTCACTGTAAACACCTTCTCCCTTCATTCAATTTCATTCATTCATTCTTACTACCATACTGTAGAAGATCGGTTTTGCTACTGTTCTTCCATAATGTATCCCCAACCTGGTTTAACTGTCACTACACACAATCAAGCATCACTAATTAGCAGCACATCCTTTCCTGAAAATATTGACGCCAAACTGTCCATCCATTCTCACACACACACTACTGCATCCTTTGTGTCCATCAATCCCTCTTCCTTCTCCCTTTCACTTTTCATTCTCTCAAGATGTCCATACCCACTGAGTAAACCCTGATCCACTCTCAGCCCTAAACTTCTTTCACTTCCACATACAGTACTACTCTACTATTTTAATTTGTTCTTTCCTCTTGCATCAAGAGTCCATGCCTGACATCAAAATAATAATGTGAGTTCAATGATTCCCTCATATATCTCCACTGCCTCATCTAATATGATTTTTTCTCCATATATTTCTCAATATACCAACCACTTTTTTCCTTCAGCTACTTTGTGATCCGATTTATTACTTAATGCTCCAGTCACTATAACATCCACTCCCAAATAATTGAAACACTTCCTATTTTTCTATTCAATCTCCTCTTAAGTAAACATTCATTTCTCCCATCTATTTCATCATCACCACCACCATTTTAAGATCATTTTCCATACTCGTATGGGTTAGCCATGATTATCCCCTCTAAACGGTCTTCTCTTTTCTCTCCACATGCCCATACCATCTTAGCCTATCTCTACAGGTCACCTTGCCAATGCTCTCAATACCCCAAAAAAGTTTTCCTATCTCTCAGCCTCACTTTAATCCCCCTTTACTTTTGTTCACATTCACTATTATCATTTACCATGTCAGGGGCTGATCCAGAATTTTATGAGGGGGGGTTTAGACTTTGGGTGAATGGAAACAAAATCAAAATTTTGGCCAAGAAAATACAGTGATCCCTCGGTTAACAAACGCCTCAGTTAACGAAATTTCAGTTAACGGATTACCTTACCATAAGATTCTTCACTTGGGTTAACGAAAAAATTTTGGTTAACGAATTCCTTACGAATTTTTCCCAACATGTTTTCGCTTGCATTTGCCTGCTCACCAGCTGTAGTATTAGTCCGCCAATACAGTAATCGGTTCTAGGGTTTAAATTCGTTTTGATTTTAGTAAATATCAAGAAGGTTGGACTATTCAATAATTTTAAAAGTTTTATATTAAATTTTTTAGTCATTTTAACAATTATTAAACATAATTGAAGTACAGGAAACTAGTTGTTTGCGCACTAAACAGCCACTCAACACACCAAGCTTGGCGTCAGTTTGTTTATCGGTTCAGTGGAAGGAACATCTTGTTTGAGACTCTTCAACATAAATGCTTTTTTTCTGTGTTTCCAGTCAAATTATTGGTCATTCTGAAGTTTATTTTACATATTGACAATATATAATGCACTGCAGTGTTGATTTAAAGAAAATAATCTTGAATTACACCAAGTGAACTAAAATTTTATGGGTGAAATGGCGGCATGGGGGGACTTTTCTTCCACCCCAATGCCTTCTCTTCTCCCTTCTCCTCCTCCACCTCCCACTTCAAATTCACATCAGCATCATCATCCAGGAGCCTTCTACATACACACCTCAAAGTAAGTGTACTTTACTGTATTTTTTTTTTTACTTAAGGTAATTTTCGGTGAGCTGGAACCAATTAACCAAAAACCCATTGAAACAATGGTTTCGGTTAAAGAATTTTTCGGTTAACGAACAACCTTCTGGAACGAATTGTGTTCGTTAACCGAGAGACCACTGTAGTCACATTTAATTTAAAT